GAGAGAGAGAGAGAAAGGTAGATATAGAGTCACACTGATGAACAGACAGACGGACGGACAGACGAAAGAGAGTGAGAGAGACGTCGTACGTGTATGTGAGAGGAAAGAGTGAGAGAAAGATGGAGAGACCAACGGTAGCGTGTATATTTTGCATGAGAGTGCTTCACCGAGCCAAGTGAACGAGGTGAATGCGTGACGTCCGTTATTATTCGCTCCCGCGACTGATACTTTCGCGTGATCCGACTGTCACACTTGTTCGGTACTTCCGCCCGGCCGTGGCGAACGTCCGCTGCTCTGCGTTCTCGAAATCGTTTTCGACTAAGACAATAGGCACAGGTGCGTAGGTGAAGTGAGAAAGGGAGACACGCGCGAGAGAAAGACAAGAGGGAGGAAGAGAGAGAGAAAATGAAATAAAAACCATCTCGCCGGCACGTAGTTAATTGAGAGAAAGAGAGAAGCTCCTTTAACCGGTATGTTTACCCGGTAGAGAGCTGTTTACATCGTGCATCCGGCTTTCGGCGCGTACTCCGAGTTGTACGGAGTCGTGTGTTTACAAGCGTGTACCGCTCGTGTCAGCTGTGAGCGTTGTACGAGTCGAATCGTAGCACGACGCGACGCGACGCGACGCGGCTCACCATCGAGGTTAGGGTAACTCGCCTCTCGCGGTCGTCGGTGGTGTGTGCGTCGGTGGTGTGGGCTGCGTGCGCGATTCCTCGCTGCCGGCGCGCGCGAGCGGGGCGCCGTAACAGAAACGCGTGCTGCGCTCTCTCCACCTAGTCGCCTGTCTGCCAGCCCGCTCGTCCGCTCGCTCGTCCGCTCGTTCGCTCGCTCGCTCGCTCGCTCGTGTCGCCGTTCGCCCGCTTCTGGTGAATTCGTATGGTGAATTATTGATCCACAGCGACGTGTGCGTGCGGAAAAACCGCCGTTGGCTGGAAGAGAGGAGGTAGAGGGGCACAGAGGCGAGAGAGAGATAGAGAGAGAGAGAGAAAGACAGACGTACAGATAGGGCGATAGAGGGGGAGAGGAGGGGAGACGGAGACGGAGCCGCACGGAGTGGCGCACGGCGGTGGCGCGAGAAAGCGCTTAAAGCGAGCACACGTACGGGGTGAGACGTGCGCTGGTTGGTGTGTTGATTGTATATTGTTTTGAAAAGTGTCGCGGGACGCGCGCGAACGCACGCGACGTATCGCATCATATCGCATCGCGTCGCATCGTATCGCATCGCATCACACCGCATCGCTTCGCGTCGCGTCGCGTCGCGCATCGTCGTGCCTCGATCGCGAGGCGCGAAGCTGAATCAGGATACATCGTCGAGATCGCCTCTTAGACGAAATCGAAACGAGCGAAGTGTATGTCCTTGTGTGCCGGTCCTCCGCATGACATCCGTGCGTACGACGTTTCTATTTCTTTGCTCTATTCCGTGCGTGCGTCTACTTGACTGAGTGACGAACTGACTGACTGACTGACTGACTGACTGATTGACTGACGTGACGTGACTGACTGATTGACCGATGATTGATTGACTGACTACTGACTGACTGACTGACTGACTGACTGACTCACTGACTGACTGATTGACTGACTGACT